CCTAGAAGGAGCATGTAAATTTAAAGGTATTATAACACGCCCTAGAAGGAACATATACATTCAAGGGTACTAGAACACACCCTAGAAGAAGCATGTAAATTTAAAGGTATCATAACACGCTCTAGAAGGAGCATGTAAATTTAAAGGTATCATAACACGCCTTAGAAGGAACATATACATTCAAGGGTACTAGAACACACCCTAGAAGAAGCATGTAAATCTAAAGGTATCATAACACGCTCTAGAAGGAGCATGTAAATTTAAAGGTATCATAACACGCCTTAGAAGGAGCATGTAAATTTAAAGGTACTATAACACGCCCTAGAAGGAACATATACATTCAAGGGTACTAGAACACACCCTAGAAGAAGCATGTAAATCTAAAGGTATCATAACACGCTCTGGAAGGAGCATGTAAATTTAAAGGTATTATAACACGCCCTAGAAGGAGCATGTAAATTTAAAGGTATCATAACACGCCCTAGAAGGAGCATGTAAATTTAAAAGTATCATAACACGCCCTAGAAGGAGCATGTAAATTTAAAGGTATTATAACACGCTCTAGAAGGAGCATGTAAATTTAAAGGTATCATAACACGCCCTAGAAGGAACATATACATTCAAGGGTACTAGAACACACCCTAGAAGGAACATGTAAATTTAAGGGTATTGGAACACTCTCTAAGTGAGTGTGACGTAGTCGGCCACACAAATCCTTTTACGATTTCATCAAGGATCAACGATGGACAGAGCCTGCTTATATAAGAGAACTTTCTCAGAAATCAATCGTGGTTCAACAGTTAGCGTGCTGGGCTGTAGATCTGTGGTTTGTGCCTAGTTACCGCCAAAAACAAATCGCACTCTGCACTTTGAGGCCATGAGTGTGTTACAGATCCCACTATTCGATTAGAGTAACACCGAGCTAGCTATGGATGGTGTTATTTTCTCTCTAGTATATCACTTTAAAATTGGGACGTAGATAACAAACAAAAATCAACCAAATGAATTCCGCGTTCAAACTAATTTTGGTTTTACAACCACATAGTAATTTGTAATTCCCTATATGGGGAATACAAATTATTTCCTTACATTAAAGTCCGTATTTTAGACCAGTTTCAGAGGACATGGCATAGCACAGCTACCTTTTGTCTACCATTAGCGGATACGGTACAGCTACCTTTCATCTACCATTAGCGGGCACGGTACAGCTACTTTTCATCTACCATTAGCGGGAACGGTACAGCTACCTTTCATCTACCATTAGCGGGAACGGTACAGCTACCTTTTATCTACCATTAGCGGGAACGGTACAGCTACCTTTCATCTACCATTAGCGGGAACGGTACAGCTACCTTTTATCTACCATTAGTGGGTACGGTACAGCTACCTTTTATCTACCATTAGCGGGAACGGTACAGCTACTTTTCATCTACAATTAGCGGGTACGGTACAGCTACCTTTTATCTACCATTAGCGGGTATGGTACAGCTACCTTTTATCTACCATTAGCAGGTACGGTACAGCTACCTTTTATCTACCATTAGCGGGCCCGGTACAGCTACCTTTTATCTACCATTAGCGGATACGGTACGACTACATTTCATCTACAATAGCGGATACGGTACAGCTACTTTTCATCTACCATTAGCGGGCATGGCAGCATGGCACAGCTGCCTTTCATCTAACGTTAGCGAGCACGGCACAACTACCTTTCATTTAACATTAGTGGGCATGCATAACTGCCTTTCATCTACGAAAGAGATGAACTTGGTTTTCTTGTGAACTGAAAAGTACGTTTTGAAAGTTTATCTTTCGGTAGAAAACGTTTTCACAGTAAATGTGTTAGGAGATGTCATGCTTGTCCCAAAATAACCTAAGCGTTTAAGACAACTGTCAACAGAGAAAGGAGGAAAGCAGCTTGAAATATAACTATAAGTGGTAGACCGAAAAAAAAAAGAAAAAATTCTTCTGCCAAAAACATTGCAGCACAACTGTATTATTTAATGGTTTATATAAACTGCACAACTTCAGACTATGGACTACTTTGTTTTCCTCTGAGGATCCTTACATTTCCAGTATAAATTGTGTGTGAACTGATAATACACAAAAAACATAGCGCGGAAATTCTAACACCATAACCAAGGAGAGTTATGAAATAAAAATTCTGAGGGTATGAAATACACAGGTTGACAAAGTGATAAATACAGATAATATTGTGAAGAGGATTCTAACAAGATTTGTAAAAAAAACTGATAACAGAGTGACAACAGAGCATGGGGATACCGGCAGGATATAAGGAGATAGTTATAACACATAGTACATATACAACACGGAATGGGGAGAATTAAAACAATGAAAGTCATAACACATGGACAAAATCGCTTAGAGATTATAGA